AGATGTCTACAGATAAGCAAAATATGATGTCTGTATTGTAGTTGTTTGGAATTTCAAGAGGGGTTGTGATGGTCTTGATCAATTCATTTAGTGGAGACAATACAGTGTAGGTCATAATATGTATTTTCAATCCCATTCACTTATGAACTTCTTTCAGCAACTAAATTCTGTAGTTTTAAAGCAACTAAAATATAAAATGATTTTTTCTCCTCTAGTTGTTGCCTTTATAGAAGATGATAAAAGAAGATTCTGTAGAGATCTCAAGTTTGCTTTCAGGTCTTCTCTACACCTCAAATCCGAAAGGCACCTTGAAATGGTATGGAATAGCTATATTTTTTTCAATTAATCTGCTAGCATTATTCTATTATTTTGTTTCTTTAATTCATTGTTATACTTATTAAACTGAGTATTTAATATACATTTTGAAAACAATCCCTCAATTGCCACAACTTAAATGTTTAAACCTTCCATTAGATTCTCAGGTTATTTTTTGTGCTGGATATAATACAAGCATTGTAGATTATCGTTCGAATAGTTGACTTTTTATAGGGGTACATCCAACCAAATCAGCTTTGTTTATATTTATTTTTGTTTCTAAAATTTTATGATAATTAAATCTAAGGTCTGACCAGTTGAGTTATACCTCTCATAGTTGAGCTTCATTTATTATAAATAAGCTACAAGGACTCTTTTAGATGATGATTAATGGAATGCTAAGATCTTTCAATGAAAATTTACTTTTCTTTTTGTAACCATTCAAAAGAGTTTATGTCATGGGATTAATTGAGGTGCATGTAAGATGACTTAAACACCTATAATAATAATAATAATAATAATAATAATAATAATAATAAAAAGAGTCTATGCTTGGGTATAATGATAATAGAGAAGAAATACTTCAATGTTTTACCCTTTTACATATATGAGTATCATTTAATGATTTTGGATTAATCTTATTTTAGGCCATAGAGAATGGGAGACATAATATGTTTTCTTTCTTTTTTTATTATTATTACAACTCTTGCCCTATTAAATAGTTTGATTTTGCCTGTTATTTTTGTGAAGGGAATACCATCCTCTCCATATAGTTGTGATAGGCGACCCTTCTATACATTTTTGATTTTAGGATGCAGCTTTATTGTCCATCTTTTCACATGAAAACCCAAGTAAATCAATCCTCGTAAAGATTAGAGTCGAGGGTGTTAAATTTTCCATCCTTTAGGAAGTGGGCATTTATGGCACTATCACTTAACATGGCGTTGAAACGTGTTTGACTTACCTAGATGTCACTGATAAGGTACAATGCTTCTCTTTTATGTGCTCCTGCTAATTAGTAAAGGTAATCAGTTCGAGTGCTATAAATTTTAAAGTCACTGAATATTTGCCTGATTGTTAACTTTAAGGTCTCGGGGGATTAGTCGAGATGCATATAAGCTGGTTTTGACACCCACAGTTACTAAAAAAAAGTACTTCTCTTTTATTTGCTCTTGCTAATAAATTCATGAGCTACTTGTGTAGTTGCTTCGTGTTGATTTCTTTTTTACTTTCTTATTAAAGAGTTACTTGCGGTTAAAGAAGAAAAATAGAATTGCTATAGAAGAAAGTCTGTATATTTTCACACACATTATGCTTCTCTGCACTAACATGGAAGTTATATATAAAATTATACATTCTTGGTTGTTGCACGAAATAAGGAAAGAAAAGATTGATATTCTATCTCTATAATTTCAGCAGCTAAATACTAAGAGGATTATCAAGTGTAGCTGTCATTTTGCTGAAGTTTCCTTTATCTGTTGAACTACCATTTACATAGGAATTTATTACTCCTTGGAAGTCCTTATCACCAAACATATTTTCTTTGATATGTCTGTGAGTATAATCATCATTATTACTCCATAATTCTTTCTTGTCACTCCATGATTTGTGGGATAGACTCACACGATTATTGCTAATAGGAGATTGTAAGTTGCTAATATCCCCCCGCAAACTGAGCCAAGGTTAAAGGCAAAGTTTGTTGCGAAAGTATGATAGGGCAGTCTTAGGCACTGGTTTAGTAAATATATCAGCAACTTGGTTAGCAAAGGACACATGTTTAGTGACAAGTAATCCAAAAGCAACTCGCTCGCGTATGAAATGGTAATCTAACTTAATATGTTTACTCTGAGCATGAAAGACAGGATTGATGGTCATATATAGAGAACTGATATTATCACAATAGAGAACTAGTGGATGTGATAGAGATATACGAAGATCTATGAGGATGTAAGTAAGCCACGTAAGTTCAACAGTAGTATAGGTCATAGCTCGATATTCAGCTTTAGTACTAGATGGCGAGATTGTGTGTTGTTTTTTTACACACCATAAAATGATATTGGTGCCAAGAAAAGTGCAGTATAGTGGTAGATCTCCGTGTTATAGGGCAACCAGCCCAATATGCATTAAAGAAGGCATGCAAGTCAAGTGTTGTATTGGATGAGAGACGTAGACCGATAGCTATTGTTCCTTTAAGGTGTCGATGAATGCATTAAACTAGTTTCAAGTGGGCAACTGTAGTATTGTGCATGAATTGTGAAACATAGTTGACACTGTAGGATATATCAGGTCGCGTGAGGGTGAGGTATTGGAGAGCACCAACAATCCTACGAAACTGACTAGGATCAACAATAAAAGAAGTATCTGTATCTATTTTGATTTTGGCTTTCAAAGATGTGCTCACAAGTTTGCAATGAAGCATATTAGAGCAGTCAAAGATGGTATATGCATAGTGTGATTGAGACAAATATAGTCCATTTGCTGAGGTATAAATTTTAACGCATAAGAAATGATGCAACGGTCCTAAGTCTTTCATTGAAAATTCACAACTTAGTATGTGAATAAAGAGTTGACTAGTTCGTTTGATGACCCTGTAAGAAGCATATCATCAACATAAAGAAGTAAGGCTATAATTTCGTGTGTTTATTGAAAGATAAAAAGAGAAAGATCAGTCAAACTACAGAAGAAACCATAAGATATAAGAAAATCACTAAGTCTATCAAACCAGGCACATGGTGCCTATTTGAGCCCATATAAGGCACGTTGAAACTTACATATATGCATAGGATTCTGTTGATCAGCCATACCTGGTAGTTATGTCATATATATATCTTACATGATGTTGCCATGTAAAAATGCATTCTTGACGTCAAGTTGACGAATGGGCCAGTGTTTCACAAAAGTAATAGTTAAAATTATTCAAATTGTACCTAGTTTTATTACAGGAGAGAATGTCTCTATGTAGTCAATACTATCAATCTAATGATAGCCTTTGACAACTAACCATGCTTTTAGGCGATCCAATGTTCCATCTGGTTTTAGTTTGGTCTTAAAAACCCATTTGGACCCAATCACATGTATATCTGGAGTGTGGGGAACTAACCACCATGTATCATTTTGATAAAGTGTTGTAAGTTCATCATCCATTGCAGCTTTCCAACCGGGATGCAACAGGGCTACTTTAATGTTGTTTAGTTCACAAGGTATCGTAGGAGGTGATTTTATTATCAAGGCATATTTAAGATTCGGCTTAACTACTCCATGTTAGGACCTGGTTAGCATAGGATGACGCGTTGCTGCTTCATGAGAAAGATGGGGCAGATGAGGCTCTAATGCAGAGGGGGTTTCAGGATATATATCAAACTGTAATGTAGGCACTGGTGCAGGCTAATTGAGACCTGCAATTTGTGTATCATTAATTAGAGGGAAGAGTGCATGTTGTATTCTAGTGTTTAATACTAGTGTTGGGGCCTGCAAATGGAGAGCTACTGAAAGCTGAGTATTAATATCAGTTACATCATTTTCAAATGTAGTTGTTTCATATAAGGAATTTGATATAGATTGCCAGATATGTCGATCAACAGGTGAACAATGAATAAGATTCGTTAGTGCAGATTGTTGTGGAAGAATATCTGTTTCTGCTTCTATTTCTAGAAAAGTGTTAGAAAATGGTATCCAGGAATTAAGTATATTAAGCATATGTGAGGCAATAGGTGAATTTAAAGAAGATTTAAATGGAAAAACAGTCTCATAAAAAACAACATGGCGAGAAATGAAAAATTTATGACTTGGTAGGTGAAAGTACTTGTATCCTTTATTTTTTTCATTATATCCTACAAAAACACATGAGACAGTTTTATGGTCAAATTTATAGTTTCTTGTATTCCATCCATATGGAAAACATTTAGAGTCAAACACCCGAAGTGACATGTAATCAGGATGTGTTCCATGTAGCATGGAATATGTTGTCAAAATGTAGAGATATTGGAATAACTGATTTATTATTATGATGTATTATTATTAATATCTATTCAAAATCAGTGATGGAGCCTACATGCCTTATTATGCCCCAACAAAATTTAAATTAACCATTTTGTTTATAATTATTTTTTTAATATCAAATGCATCCCATAAAAAAGACAATCTCATCTTTATTGCATGCCTAACAAATTTTTTTGATAAAAATAACTGTCATTATATTTTTTCTATTTCAATCCATAATAATCTGTGTCTAAATAAATAGTGAGAGAGATATTAAACGCTTTTAGTATATAGTATAATATAATAATTTGTTTATCAATAACAAAATAATTTAAAGATTTTTAATTTTTTTTTGTAATATATTAAAATAATATTTATTTTCTTAATTTTTTAAAAAGACAATTCATAAACATTAATTATTATTATTATTATTATTATTATGAAATGATGATGAAACCTCCGCCCCAAACACACAGCGGAGCTGATGATCAAAACATGCTGAGCACAAACTGATATCAGGCTGGGGGCCATATGATATCATATTGGAAGTTGGAACCTAACTGAAACCAAACGCGAGACATGGTTAAACGAAAACGATGATAATAACTGATCTCTGAGTTGAAACCTCCGCCTTCCCTCTCCCTCTCCCTCTCTCTCGATGTTTCCAAGAATTCATTCGTTTCTTACATAATAGTAAAAAGTAATCAAACACTCCTCCATTTCCAAACACTTCTCTCACAACTCCCGCTTCAACGGCTCACCTTCTCCACACCACATTCCTTCCTTCCTCCTCTTCTCTCCCTCAACCCTGTCTTTCTTCATGCCCATCTCACATTTCCTCTTCAAGAACCCGGGTCCATGCCAAGATCCGCGAAATCTTCATGCCTGCTTTGAGCTCTACTATGACTGAAGGAAAGATTGTTTCTTGGGTCAAATCCGAAAGTGACAAGCTTTCTAAAGGTGAAAGTGTTGTCGTTGTTGAATCCGATAAGGCTGACATGGATGTTGAGACTTTCTATGATGGTTACTTGGCTGCCACCATGGTCGAGGAAGGTGGTGTTGCTGCAGTTGGATCGGCTATTGCTTTATTAGCTGAATCCCGGGAGGAAATCGAGGAGGCCAAGTGTAAAGCTGCTGCTTCTTCGTCTTCTTCTTCTCCGGCTCGGGATCCGACTCCATCTGCCGCGGCTCCGGCTCCGGCTCCGGAATCCACCGTTTCTGTTGATAAGGCTGTTCTGGTGGCGCCGCCTTCTCCTTCGGTGGTGGCATCGGCTGTGCACCCTGCGTCGGAGGGAGGGAAGGGGGTGGTGGCGTCGCCATATGCCAAGAAGCTTGCGAATGAGTTGAAGGTTGAGTTGGGGAGAGTGATAGGGAGTGGGCCTAATGGGAGAATTGTGGCTAAGGATGTTGAGGCTGCGGCGGCAGCGGCAGCGGCTGCTGAATTGGGTTCAACAGCAGCAAAGATTTCGGGGGCCCCTTCTGTGCACGCACCTCCTGGGATTGAGTTGGAATCGGTGGTGCCTTTTACGACAATGCAAGGGGTAGTGAGTAGGAATATGGTGGAGAGTTTGTCAGTGCCTACATTTAGAGTGGGGTATACTATTACCACCGATGCACTTGATACTCTTTACAAGAAGGTAAGAATTGTTATTGGGCCTTTTCCTTTTCTAATCATAATTTGGGATGCTTCAGATGGGATTTTGCCGGTAATATAATGATATTTGGATGTTGCTGCTGCGTAAGATTGATACTTTATGCTGTATATGAGATGATGATGTTTGATTGATGATCATGTTTCGCTTCTAGATTGGTGAATTTTTGTGATTTTTCTAGTTTAGAATCCGAAACAGCTTGCTGTATTTGCGATTAGCTATGTTTTTTTTTGAAAACGATCCTAGATGAGAACATAAAACGGTATCCTTTATGGAGAAGTTTATATCGTGATCTTCTTTCAAATATGCTGTCCGAGTAATTAGAGTTTAGTAATTTGATTGATGTTTTCAAAAGGAAGGTATCATCATGGCTAAAAAATGCCAGAGTTATGAGTGTTCAATAATTTAGATTCAGTTATAATTTAGCAGTTTAAGATGGGGATCTACAGGGCAGGTTTTGATTGTCTTGTACCGAATTCATTTTTCTGTTGATTCATCCTTGCCATTGTGCTTCCTTTTCCGTGCATGTCTAGATCAAGTCCAAGGGAGTGACGATGACAGCATTACTTGCAAAGGCAACTGCACTGGCATTGGTTAAGCATCTTGTAATAAACTCCAGTTGCCGAGATGGTAATAGCTTTACATATAATAGTAGTGTCAACATTGCAGTTGCTGTGGCTATGGATGGTGGCTTGATTACACCAGTGCTTCAAGATGCTGATAAGGTTCTTGTTAATCTGTTTTGGGATGTTCTATTGATATTCTGGGTTATAAATCCTTGTTCAGTTTCAAATATTTTTCTTTCAATGCATTTATCAGGTTGACATTTTCTCATTGTCAAGAAAATGGAAGGAGTTAGTTGATAAAGCCCGAGCCAAGCAACTGCAACCTCAAGAATACAACACAGGTATACCTACTACATGTTCTCAATTCTTATTTAACTGTACAAGATATGTTTATCAGGAATTCTTGGTGATCCATGTCCAGTTTGGCTACCCACATTGCTCACAACAATTTATTTTGATGCATGATGTGACTATAATAGTTTATCAACTTCTTGTTGATGTCCTGGACATACAAATCTTAATTCTTTTGCAAGTTGTGAACTTAAAGGGTTAATTAGTTCCAAATGGATAATTGTAATTTCAAAATGGATGGAAAAGCACTTTGTTCTGCATAGTCCAGCATAATCATAATTCTGTTCATTTTACTAAATCATCACCTGGGTTACTTTAGGTATTCAAGAAACAATGTAGTTTCACAGGAGTGAACGATAGTGTCTCACTGCATTTCCCAGAGTTGGGAAGGGTTGTTTTTTCTAGGTTTGCAAATGGTGATATTGACTATAGTTCCATAGTTCTTGTTGTTGTGTTTTTCTCATTGTGGAGTACTGAGTTATTCAATTTGTGTTTTCTAATGCTTGTAGTGTTATTTAGTAATTCTTGTGCAAATATCCTTTGTAAGTGGATTGCCGGAATCACTCTGTTTCCAAAATCATTAGTGCATATAAAGCTGTTGCAAACTGAAAGTAGGACGTGTGGAGATATTAATTCTGGGGTGACAATCCATTCCTGTGTGAGTCCAGCTTGTAATGCTTGCTTTAATTTGGTGCGAGTGCAAACTGATAGGGTCTGTTGCAACTTCTGATAATCCGGTTACATGCTTTGTGCTGACTGGTTCGTTTGTCATATTTTCTTGATTTCTGTAGTTCATAATCCTTGATGTCACAAAGTTATATTGTGTTTCTCATCTGCTTTTTCTCAGAAATTTTTAGGCATAGCATTTATATTGTTAGCATGACATTTCACCATTTCTATGTATTGCTCTTGTTCAGTTATTTGCAGGTACTTTCACACTTTCTAACTTGGGAATGTTTGGTGTGAATTGATTTGTTGCCATTCTGCCCCCCGGAACTGTAAGTGTTTTCACAAGCTTCATACCTGCTGGATTCTCTACAAGAGGCTACTATACATAGTATGCTCGTTATTAGTGATTGGCTTGGCATATGGTTTGGTTTATTCATGTGGATGATTGGTGTGACAAATGGTTTGGTTTATTCATATGGATGGTTGGTGCAGGGAGCAATTATGGCTGTTGGAGCATCACAGCCAACTGTTTTAGGAACCAAGGATGGCCGGATTGGCATGAAGAATCAGATGCAGGTAACAAGTATATTATATTCATTAGTTTCTGAAAAGGTTGTTTCTGTATGAAAAATAGTTTAATTTTTATTTTCATACTGTAAACTGTAAGTGCTATATCTACAGGTAAATGTTACAGCCGATCATCGGGTAATCTATGGTGCTGATCTTGCTGCCTTCTTGCAAACACTGGCAAAGATTATCGAGGACCCCAAAGATCTTACCTTCTAATCAGAATCCTGCCACCGAAGGAGGCCATCTTTACATCCTGAAGATTTCCCTTTTCCTTATGATTCAGAGCCCATCTTCCTCTGATAATCATTCCTCAATCTTCACAGAGCATACTCAAAAAGAGAAATGTAGGAGCTATAATCTCTGTCCAAAGTTCTATTTAGAACAGGAGCAAAATTTTGAAGAGCAATTTTTATTTGGGTTTCAGATATCACAAATTCTTTTGCACTTTAACATTGTTGTAAACGCTGGCAGTTCTTGCTTCTTATCAAATTTCCTTTTTTTTTTTCTGCCATTGGTTGTTGTAGCTGTTTCCAACATCAGATATATGAAACATAAATTTCTTCCCATGTGTCCATAAAGTTGAATGGAATTGGTGCTTCCATTTGGGGAAGATTGCTGTCCGGTGACTGAGGAATCATTTTGGCTTCAGTTCTTATGAATGTCTCTCCTTCCCTTGCATGGTTTCACAAGTAAACAGCACTTGCCAGTTGCCTGCACTCTTGGCTGGAAATGCCAGTCGCCATCTCGTCAACATTCATGTACATATTAGCTTGAAAACTTGCAATTTGCCTGCGACTATTTGACTACAGAAATGGAGCATCTGCAGATATAGGTAGAGCCAATGTAAGATGTGTTTTCCTCATATTCCATTGATGTTCTTATCTGTATGTTTTTGTTCATGTTGTGGTCATCATCATGTTATCATCAAATTTATGTGTTTCTTAATCGAAGAAACATAGCAAACTTGAATTATTGTTAGTTTGATCCTAAACTGTGCCTCGAGTAAAGATTGAACCGAACTTGAACACCAAGTTGCTTCACTCAATTTAGTTAAATTATAGGCACTAGATAAAAATAAACTTTGGAAGAACTCTAACCGGGGCAAAACAAGAGATGGATAGATACATTACTCATAATTTTCTTTTATGTATTATGTATACATAGGAATTGCAGATTACATGCTAGTCGGCTTGCAACAGCTGCCTCGTTCTGTCCATCAAGAAACCTTTGTTCTACTTACAGATTTAGTATAATCTTTCGAATATATAGAACTGCTGTTTCTAGGGGGACTGTATTCCGAAGGCCAGTCTTCATCGTGCATTGAGGATCATTCTTAATACGCTCTTCATCTTTGGCCTTGCTTCTGTGGAAACACTAACACAACTAAGGGCAATCTTAAGGACCGCATGCATGTGGCTTCTGACAGCAGGTGAAGTCCTGCTGATGTTAAAATCAAGGATGCCATCCCACCTGTCTTGCTGTGTTGTGTTCCTAAAAACCCACTTGGCTAATTCAGTTCCCTCACTAACTGCTGGCTTTCCTGTCAGCAATTCCAGTAGAACGACCCCAAAGCTATATACATTCCCAGCCATTGTCACCCTCATTGTGTATGCATACTCTGTAAGGACCACAATCACTCATCAAGTCAATATCAGAAGCTCAGGCATATGCTGAACAAGGATTCATCAAGCAGTCTGAAACTACTTACAAGAAAGTATTCGATATCCATGTTCATGGGAGAATTCATGAATTTTGGTCACAACCAGCACATACAAATTAAATTTTCATTACTCGTTGGATGTTAAGTTGAGCATAGAGTTTTGTTTACCTGGTGGAATATAGCCCACAGAGCCAGCAACTGTAGAAAGGCTGCCCGTGCTCTTTGTTGGATCAATCACTTTGTGGAGCTCAATGTCTCCGACTAGTGGCTCCTTCAGAGACTTCAGCAAAATGTTTCTGCTTGAAAGGTCAAGGAGGAGAATCGGACCAGAGGAGCATCCATGAAGAAAGGTAAGGCCTTGAGCAACTCCAACTGCTATACTGTAACGGCTAGCCCAGTCTAATGTATCTCCCAGTTTACCATGAAGAACATCAAAAAGCGTACCCTTCTCAGCATATTCGTAGAAGAGATAAGCACTGTCGACGGTCAATACATAGGCCAAAGGAGTCATGACATTAGAATTGCTCAGTTTCCCTAAAACTTCCAGCTCTTGTCCGAATTTATTGTGGCTACCCAATTGGAATATCTTGTCGCTCCAGTTGAGCTTCTTGACAAAGTAGTTTGCTCCAGAAGGCATGGTGGCTTTATAGTATGTTGAAAACCTAGTCTTCAACTCAATGTTCAATGGATCAGCAGCTACTTCCATGGCACTGGTGAAATCGATGCTGGGCCTGTGAATTCCATTTGTAGTCAACAGATTGCCTTGGATGACTTGAGGTGGTGGAAGATTTTCCTCTGATTGTGACTGCTGATCATTAACCTTGAGAAAGCGCCTGGAGAATGATAGAACTATAATCGAGACAATGCCAACAGCAAGAACAGCAGCAACAACTGCAACAACAACTGGCACAACAACGGATCTCCTCTTCTTTGGGGATTCTTGGGGAGTGTTTGTTGCTGTATTATTTTTAAGTCTTGAATTTCCACTTGCATTTAAAGACACATAATGTTTGAAATCTGGGATGACCCCAGAAAGCTGATTGTTTGAGAGTATCAACTGATTTAGGGATTCCATTTCAGTAAGAGACTCTGGAATCTCACCTGAGAGATTGTTGTTTGACAGATCCAAAATTTCTAGGTCCGTCAGTCGGGAAAGAGTTTCTGGAATAGCTCCTTGAAAGAGGTTGGTACTGAGATTCAAAGCGATCTGCAATTTCACCGGCATCATTGGGATAGTTCCACTTAGTTGATTTTGTCCAAGTTGGACTTCTAACAGGGTGTCCATGCTGTTGATCGTGGCAGGTATTGGACCCTGAAGATTGTTGCCTTGCAAGTTCAGGTGAGCGAGTCTTTGCAAGTTTGAAATTGAAGAAGGTATCGAACCAGTGAGCGAATTCCAACTGATGTTCAAGGTCGACAACAACTGTAATTGAGTGATCTCTAAAGGGATATCTCCACTCAAATTGTTGAACTGAAGTTTTAAAACTTGAAGATTACCGAGATTACCCAACAGTGCAGGTACAGGGCCTGTAAGTTCATTCTGTGCCAAATTCAATAGTGCCAAACTACGGCAAGATCTCAACTGAAGGGGTATCTCATTGGTCAAGCTATTGTTATCCAGTTCCAAGTAAGTCAACTTATCAAGTGTCCCGAAAGAAGGAGGGATTGGCCCATTGAGCCTGTTGCTTCCCAATCTCAACCTGATCAAGCTTTCAGATACGTTTGCAGGTAATGAGCCATCCAACAGATTATAAGACAAATCCACAAGTTGCAAGTTCGACCCTGATAAAAGACCTGTCGGTATAGGCCCTCTTAAGCTATTGTAACTGAGATCTAAGAAGCTAAGATATCTTGTAATTCCACTGGGAATTGTACCACCAAACTTGTTCTGATTCGCTGCAAATCGATACAAGGTTGTGATATTTGAAATGTTTGCTGGGATTTCCCCACTCAATTTATTGTCAGACAGAAGTAAAATCCTCAACTTGGTGAGATTTCCAATACTAGTAGGAACCGACCCCTCAATATTATTGGCACTGAGATCAATTAACTTCAAGTTCTGATAATTTGCAATTTCTTGAGGGACCGTACCTTGGAAGTTATTCATAGATAGCTGGAGTTCCTCCAACATCAAGGACTTTCTAAGGTTTACAGGAATAGGACCAGTGAACATATTGGAACTAAGATTCAAGCTTTTAAGTGCATGAAATCCATCTACCTGTAGACTAACATTACCAGACAGAGAATTGAAAGACAAGTCCAAAGATTCTAAACCAACAAAAACATTAAAAGCAGGCAAAGGACCACTTAGCAAGTTTTTGCTAAAATTCAACAACTTTAGCCCATCAATCCTTCCACAATCATTGATGAACTCATCTGAAATTGAGCTCAAACGGTTGTTAGAAAGATCAAGGGCTTGTAAAGTTTCAATCTTGCAAACAACAGGCAAGAAATTAGAGTTGGAGAGACCAAACACAGGTAGAAAAAGACCAGTTACGGACGAGTTACCAGAGCTGCATCTAACTCCCTTCCAAGAACATGGGTCTTTAGTAGCATCCCATAACGAATCAGAAAGGTTAAGTAACTTACACAGATTCATCATGGTGTTCGCCTGGTTTGAAGATAGTTGAGAGAACACTGATGGAAACAACAAGAACAAGAAGGACAAGAAAAGAGAGGTTCTTTGCTGCACATACCTTGTCATTTTAGCTGAATTATCCAACTAGTTTTTTCTATACTTGACCTTTCGTTTCTGGATGTGCAAGTGTGCAGTATTTTGTAGATATTTTTGTTTCTTGGGCTCAGTTTCAGGTGAAGAGGAGACAGAATAAAAGGAAATGGCAGACTCAAGGGATGTAGAAAAGATTTTTCAAAGTAAGTGCTTTGCTTTGCTTTGTGTTTCGTGGGAAAGATAAAACAAATGTAAGGCGTGTTGGGAGTGGCAGTTGACTGTGGACTTGAGCAGAAACTTGTGCTTCTTCTTTGGACAAGAGACTTGGACTGGCACACATTTGTGTTATCACACCTTTTGTGTAATGCGTGTTTGTAGGGCTGTGGGATTTCTTCTTTTTCTTTGAACTTGCCAAGGAGGCCTTCTTGTTTTATTTCGTTCTTTATTACTTAATTTTTCTTTTCTTGACTTGGACACCTTGGACAGGCTCACCTTTCGTCTTTCCCAGAAATTTGGTGGTAGATTATAAAGAAAGCACGGGAATGGCCATCAAAGAAATTTCTCTGTGGAAAAATGAAACCCTCCAAGTCTAGTCTTTGATGTGGAGCCCTACGTTGAACGGTGAAAGCAGCCTGACGCCCTGACCTGAGAAAAGCTTTTGGAATTTGGAAAAGTGACTTCTTTTCCTTTGGGTTTCGTTAGTCTATACTTGTACCAATGTTATCAAATAAGACCTTGGTAGAAAATCATTTTAACTGGTTGTTTCATTGGTTCAATAGGTTGATCATTGATGGTACTATTAAAAAATTTAAAAATATATATTAATTCCATTAATTTATTATATTTAAAATGATTGAACTGATAGGGTAGCTTGACCAAGTCTCTAAACAAATTGTTGGTTCCAGAGATTCTTTCTGGTTTTTTTGACGCCATTGTTTAGGCAATCTTTTATGAGATTCGAATTGGTTAAATGTTTGGATTATTTATTTCCAAGTTATCCTACTGATTTCGTGCAGATTTGATAATTATATTCGAACCAATATCTAAGATTATGTTTGGTTAGTTTTCTAGGATTAAAAAACAGATATAAAAATGGACAAAAACATGCTTATTGAAGAGACAAATACAGATGCGTTTGTCACTTCCGAGACTATAACTAAACACCACCTAAATTTATT